TAAGATTTCACTTGTATGTAGAATCGAATGAACAAAATAAATAAACAAATGAAATAGAAACAGACTCAGAGATACATGGAACAGACTCACAGCTGTTAGAGGGTAGGAGGGGTCGGGGGCTTGGTGAAAAAGATGAAGGGATTAGCAAAATCAAACCAACACAAAAAACTGATAGACACAGACAGCAGAAGGGTGATTACAAGAGGGAAAGGGGGTTGGAGAAGGTACATGGGGATAAATGGTGATAGAAGGAGACTTGACTTTGGATGGTGAACACACAATACAATATACAGATAATGTATTATACAATTTGGGGGCTTGGTGAAAAAGATGAAGGGACTAGCAAAATCAAACAAACACAAAAAACTGATAGACACAGACAACAGAAGGGTGATTACAAGAGGGAAAGGGCGTTGGAGAAGGTAAAAGAAGGTAAATGGGGATAAATGGTGATGGAAGGAGACTTGACTTTGGATGGTGAACACACAATACAATACACAGATGATGTATTATAAAATCGTACACTTGAAACCTGTATTATTTTATTAACCAATGTCACCCCAATAAATTCAATAATAATAAAACAAAGCAGCTCCTATGTATCATGTCAGGCATTGGGAATGCAATGATTTTTTTTTTCAAGTCACATTTCCTGCATTCCCAGGGCTTGCAGCCTGGTGGGAGAGATGGAGAGGGAAATAGGCAACTATAATTAAGCATGATAAGTGCTGTGACAGAGAAGCACAAGGTACCAGGGGAGCACAGAAGGGGATGGGGTCAGTGGAGGGAAGGTCAGTGGAGACGTATTAAAGGAGGTGACGTGTGTTCTGAAGCTGGCAGCAGCCAACTGCCAAGGGTGAAGGGATTCTGATAGAGAGGTCAGCCTGTGGAGGACAGCATGTGCTAAGGCCCTGTGGCAAGAGAAAGCATAGGATTTAGGACTCTGCAAGTAGCTCAGTCTGGCAGGAGGGAGGGGAGAGAGAGAGAGAGAGAGAGAGAGAGAGAGAGAGAGAGAGAGATCATGAACTCAGGCATTTTGATTTATTTATGTGCTTTAATTGTTTAAGTCATGACCCATGTTGATGCACACATCACCCCATTGGAGGGCACTGGAGCCCCTTCTTGTCCCCCTGTGTTCTTCCGACATGGCCACACTAGGGCTTGAAGGCTATGAACTCAGGCATTTTGATTTATTTATGAGCTTTAATTGTTTAAGTCATTACCCATGTTGATGCACACATCACCCCATTGGAGGACACTGGAGCCCCTTCTTGTCCTTCCGACATGGCCACACTAGGGCTTGAAGGCTTCCGTGGCTTCTCACATGCCAAGATGTGTCCTGCTCTTCTTGTGCATTTTCTGCCCCAGATCTGCAGTTGGTTGGCCGTGTCTCCAGGGACCGCTGGTCTGAGAACACAAGCACCTGAGGAGTTCCTTGCTATTGGACTGTCATTGTTCCCGGTTCCTTTGTTTTGTCTTCTTACAATAAGACCACTGATTGAAGTTACGCTTTCTTTGTGGTTATTATTGACCTTAGAATATATCCCACTAAGTGTACACAGTTAAAGTACTGCGTTTTAAAGCCAATCGACGTACAGGCATACCTTGTTTTATTGAATTTTGCTTAATTGCGCTTCATAAATGTTGCATATTTTTTTTTACAAATTGAAGGCAAACTTCCCACCAGCAAAAGCTTACGACTCACTTGATGGCGGTGGTCTGGAATCACACCTGCAGTATCTCCAAGATGGGCCTGTACTTCTTTTCTCTGTAACATGTGCCGCCTGTGCGATATACAGATAGGCTTTTTATTTCCAGCCATTTTCCATATTTTACAATACAAGCAAATACATATACACGTATACATCTTCTCCCTTATTGCACGAAAGTTAGCATACTTTATCCTTGCTTTTTGCTCTTAACAATGCATGCTGGAGATCACTCACTGACAGTGTGAAGCCGCCATCTTCATTTCTTCTTGCAGTTACTTATAACTGTGTTGTGTGATTTCCATAGTTTATGAGCATTTGGGCCGCTTCCAGCTTTTTGCTAATATAAACAATGCTATAGTGAATAGCCCAAGGCATACATATTTAGTATTTTTTGCAGTGTATATTTGGGGTACATTCCTAGGAGAGGTGTCGCGGGTCAAAGAGAGGTGCACCTGTCATTTTGCCAGCCTTTGCTAAATTTTCCTCCGTGCCTTTGGCACTCACAGTGGCTGTGTATGAGGGGACTGTTTTCTGAAAGCCTTGCAACAGAACATGTCATTTGGGATTGTTGCCAGTTTCATGCATGAGAAATGAGATCTCAGTGTGGTTTTAGAAAGTTCTATCATGGATGACAGCAATCTTCTCTGTGCTAGTGGCAGGGATGGTAGGAGGGTCAAGGTCCAGGGGCATGGTGGCAGGATGTGAGCTGTGATTTCCAGAATGTCCAGCAGCACCAGGGCCCTCACCTGACCAAGTTTGCGAGGTGTTTGTGTGCGGTTCTAAGCTGTGTAGCTCTGAACTCGGTCCTCTGGCCCTTCTGGCAATTCTGTGAGTTCCTTGGCGTCTTTTTAAATAGCGCCTCATTGCCGAAACCGGTTTGGCTCGGTGGATAGAGCGTTGGCCTGCGGACTGGGGGGTCCCAGGTTCGATTCCGGTCAAGGGCATGTACCTGGGTTGCGGGCACATCCCCGGTGGGAGATGTGCAGGAGGCAGCTGATTGATGTCTCT